GTGGGCGCGCGCCACCCGACCCGAACCCGAGCCCGAGCCCAGCCCGGCCGGTGCGCGCGTGTGTGGCGTGGAGCATAACCTTTTATTTTCTTCTAGGCATATGAGAGAAAGGAAAGGCTTATAAAGACCATTCCTTCCTATTCCATTTCCTATGTGGGACTAAACTTTTCCTCTTTTCCTCTACAAACCCAAGTTTTAAGTTACAACTCCAACAATCCCCCACATAACTTAAAACTTGAAATAACTCAGAAATAAGAATAAAAGAAACCAACAATCCCCCACATAACTTAAAACTTGAAATAACTCAGAAATAAGAATAAAAGAAGAACTTAAAAAATAAATAAGATTGCTGGTTCCCTTATACTATGTAATAGGTGGAGGTATCTTTCGGTTTGAACATTCACTTAGTGACAGTTGTATAGATCCGTGAGAGCTTGGTGGACTACGCCTTGAACCAGTCCCATTTATCGGATTTCTACAGAAAGCACACATAGTACAGTTTTGAAGAATTCTAAACAGGTTGCGCTATTATCGGCCTTGCGCAGATATCTTTCATGTGTGTTACTAGGGAGCAGCCCTGATCCCATGGTCGCGGCCTCACAACTACACACATATAGGTGAATCCTAATAAGGATGAGAGCAAGTAAGCATCCTGCCTCATGGGTCTTGGATTCATTAAGAGTTAGACTCAACCTTTCACTTGCTTTTTATGAGCACTGATCACCCTAGGGATGAGAGCAAATAAATTCAGTGCTCCTTATAATTAATCACTCATTCAGTTTGTTTCTACCCATTGAACCTCTGCGGGGTTGGGTTGCCACTGTAGTGATTTTTCTTATGGGCTTAATCCCATCCCCCTCGATGATTCTAGCACCACTGTCCTAGATAAGCCTTTAGTTAAGTGATCTGCAAGATTTTTCTCTGATCTTACAAAATCTAAGGCTATTATATGGTTTTTCATCTTATATCTCAAGGACTTATGTCGCACTTTCAAGTGTCGATTCATCTTCACATTTGCATTCTCTTGATGGCATTTGTCAATTGTTGTCCTGTAATCACAATGAATAGAAGTAGCTGGTAATGGTTTTTGTATTAATAGAATTTCAATTAGTAAATCTTTTAACCATTCAGCTTCTATACTAGTAGTATCAAGAGCTATCATTTCTGATTCCATTGTACTTCTAGCCATTACAGTTTGTTTAGTAGATTTCCGGGACACAGCTCCTCCTCCTAAAAGGAACACAAATCATGTGGTGGATTTTACATCTACTGAGTCGCTAATCCAATTTGCATCTGAATAACCTTCTAGTACAGATGAATAACCTTTATAGTGTAAACCATAATTTATAGTTCCTTTTAGGTATCTCAAAATTCTTTCTAAAGCATCCCAGTGACTCTTATCAGGATTTGATGTATATCTACTAAGTCTATTTACTGCATAAGCAATGTCAGGTCTGGTGTAGTTTGTTAGGAATCCTAATGATCTAATTATTTGTGCATATTCTCTTTGTAATTGAGGATAACCTGTATTTTTCTTTAGATGTACATTAGGATCATATGGAGTGGAAACAGGTTGACAGTTTGGATCATAAAAATTCTTAAGGATTTTCTCTATGTAGTGTGATTGTGATAGCACATATCCATTCTCATTTTTCATGATTTTAGTATTAAGAATTAGGTCAGCTTGACCTAAATCTTTCATGTCAAAATTTTGTGATAAAAAGTGTTTGATATCATTTATGATTTGTATGTCAGAACCAAAAATAAGAATGTCATCAACATATAGGCATAATATCACAATTTTGTTGTTTTTATCTATTTTATGATATACACACTCATCTGTTTGATTAATTACAAATCCATAAGATAGTATAATTTCATCAAATTTCATATGCCATTGTTTTGGGGCTTGTTTGAGACCATATAGTGATCTAATAAGCTTGCATACTTTCTTTTCTTGTCCAGAAGCTATAAATCCCTCAGGTTGATCCATATAAATTTCTTCATCTAAGTCTCCATTTAAAAATGCAGTTTTAACATCCATTTGATGTATTATTAATTTGTGAATGGATGCTAGAGCTATGAGGACTCTAATGGTAGTAATCCTAGCTACTGGAGAATAGACATCAAAATAATCAATACCAGACTTTTGGGTATATCCTTTAGCTACTAATCTGGCTTTATATTTATCTATTGTTCCATCAGGTCTAAGTTTCTTCTTAAACACCCATTTACATCCTATGGTTTTACATCCTGAAGGAAGATCAGTTAGTTCCCAAGTATGATTTTGAACTATAGATTGTATCTCATTATTTATAGCTTCCTTCCAAAATGGAGCATCTACTGATTTCATTGCATCTTCAAATGTAACTGGAGAATCTTCTACAAGTAATGCATAGAAATCTTCATGGACCTTTTCTATTCTAGTTCTTTTACTTCTCCTAGGCTCCTCTGGACTTTCTAGTGGTCTAATTTGTTTAGAACTAGTTTCACCTTGGTTAGAACTAGGTTCTGAATTACTAGAGCTAGGGCATGTGTTGTTTACTCTGGTCTTGTAAGGAAAAATATTTTTAAAGTAATGTGCATCCCTAGCTTCAATTATGGTATTATTGGTTATCTCATTAATGTCAGAGTTGATTATTAAAAATCTATTTGCATTACTATCAGAAGCATAGCCAATAAAAATCCCATCTACAGTTTTAGGTCCAATCTTCTTTCTCTTATTCTCAGGTATTTTAACTTTTGCTAAGCACCCCCACACTTTCAGGTGATCCAAATTAGGGTTTCTATTCTTTCAAATTATGTAAGGGGTTTTATCAGATTTCTTGAATAGAATTCTATTTAGTATATGACATGCAGTCATGAGAGCTTCTCCCCACAAATTTTCTGGCACACCAGAATTAATTAACATTGAGTTTATCATGTCCATTAGTGCTCTATTCTTTCTCTCAGCTACTCCATTAGATTGAGGTGTATATGGAGCAGTTATTTCATGAATAATTCCATTCTCTTCACAGAATTGTTTTAATCCATTAGAAGTGTACTCACCACCTCTATCTCATCTTAGTATTTTAATTTTCCTATCCAACTGATTTTCAACTTCTGCTTTATATATTTTGAATTTGTTTATGACATCATCTTTAGTCTTAATTAAGTAGAGGTAACAATATTTAGAGCAATCGTCTATAAAAGTTACAAAATATTTGTTACCCCCTCTAGTTGTTCTTCCTGAATCACAAACATCACTATGGATGAGTTCTAATATCTCAGAATCTCTATCAATAGTTTTAAATGGTTTCTTAGGAAGTTTGGCTTCTACACATATTTCACATTTTTCATCATCTTTTATATTAAGCTTTGGAATTATATTGAGATGCATCAATCTTTTAATTGAATTATAATTCACATGTCCTAATCTTTGATGCCAAGTGATGGAAGGTTCAATATTCAAAGCTATTGGAGATGCAAGAGTAGAATTCTTAACATTCAATTTAAAAAGACCATCACATAAAAAAAACCTTTTCCAATGAAATTCAACCCTTTAGTTATTACAACTTTATTTGATTCAAAAACAAGCTCATAGCCTTGTTGCACTAACAAAGATCCGCTAATTAAGTTTCTCCTAATGTCTGGTACATGATGGACATCCTGCAGGATCAAAGTCTTATCAGAAGTCAGCTTTAGGTTGATCCGACCTATTCCAGATACAGGAGCCACATTATTATTTCTCATTGTCACAGTTCCTCTACTTGAGACCTGATAGGTGGAAAACAAAGATTGATTAGAGCAAACGTGAATATTAGCTCCAATGTCAATCCACCAATCATTTGCTTGAAAGGTCATGTTTACTTCAGGAGTGAAGAGAACAGACCTGAAAGCAGTCTCAGCTGGACTAGAAGTCACCATGTTTACTTGTGACTTATTAGGTGGAGGTCCTTCCTTCCTAGGCTTGGGTGGTTCTGTCTTCTTGTAAAAGAGCCCCTCACTCCGGAGCTGCATTCGTGGGCGCGCGCCACCCGACCCGAACCCGAGCCCGAGCCCGGCCGGCGCGCGCGTGTGGTGTGGAACATAACTTTTTATTTTCTTCTAGGCATAGGAGAGAAAGGGAAGGCTTATAAAGACCCTTCCTTCCTATTCCATTTCCTATGTGGGACTAAATTTTTCCTCTTTTCCTCTACAAACCCAAGTTTTAATTTACAACTCCAATATAACTTTCTATCAAAGTCACTCTGCAAGTGTCAAAAAAAGTCACTCTACAAGTGAAAAAACCATCACGCCGTGTCTTCGTGTTCTATTTTTTTATTTGTTTTTTATTTATCTTTTGAAGTGTGTGGATATCTCGCTGTCTTTGTTTACGATTAATTGCTGCCCCACGGGAAAAATAATCATTAGATCAATGTATAATAATCTCAAATTACTTTTTGATCCTTCGGGGATACATTTATGATTGATATTTAGTGAATCTTTAAACAGAAATAGTGCCATATTGAAAAAGATCTAGATCCATTATTGGCCTTTAACAAAAAGATGGGGAATCAAACTGTTTCCCCATCATCATCCATGTAACGTCGACAAATCAAACGAAAAAAATGTCATAGATCAATTACTAAACTTAACCAAAGCATCAGTATGCCGAAGCTTATGGTCGGGAAGAA